TTTTTTTAAAACCATTTTGTTGAGGTTCACATACAAAAAGCTGCACACCTTTGACGCACGCAGCTTGATGAGTTTGGCGATAAGCATACACCCGTGAGACCATCAGCACAGTCTATGCCATGATAATACCATCACCTGCACAAGTTTTCTCCCGCTCTCGTGATTTATTATTTGTGTGTGTGTCTATGTGAGATGAGAAAGCAACTTAAGATCTACCCTCTTACTGGATTGTTGAGCATACACTGCAGTGTTATTAACTGTCGGCACTATGCTGTACAGCAGATCTCTAGGACTTATTTGTCCTGTACAGCTGAAACTTTGTACCCTTTGACTGATACCCCCGTTTCCCCCTCCCGCCAGCTCCTGGCAAATACCATTCTGCTCTCTGCTTCTATGAATCTGACTATTTTAGATTCCACATGTAAGTGTTGTCAAGTAGTATTTGTCCTTCTGTGTCTGATTTATCTCACTTAGCATAATGTCCTCCAGGTTCATGCATGTTGTTCAAACGGCAGAATTTCCTTCTTCTTAAGGCTGAATAATATTTCATTGTAGATATATACCAAATTTTCTTTATCCATTCATCCATCATTGGACACTTAGGTTGCTTCCATGTCTTGGCTATTGTAAACAATGCTACAATGAACACGGGAGTGCGGATATTTCTTCAAGATCCTGATTTAAATTTCTTTGGATATATTCCCAGAAATGGGATTGCTGGATGTTATGGTAGTTTTATTTTTAATTTTTTGAGGAATCTCCATACTGTTTTCCATAGTGGCTGCATCAATTTACAGTACCACCAACAGTGCATAAGTGTTCCCTTTTCTCCACGTTCTCAACAACACTTGTTATCTTTTCTATGTATATAACTGTATACATATATGTGTATGTAATAGCCATCCTAACCAGTGTGAGGTGATATCTCGTGATTTTGATTTGCATTTCCCTAATGATTAGTGATGTGGAGCACCTTTTCACGTACCTATTGGCCATTTGTATGTCTTCTTTGCAGAAATATCTATTTAGTTCCTTTGCCCATTTTTAAATCAGGTTGTTTTTGTTTTTTTGCTATTGAATTGTGGGAATTCCCTACAGGCTGTGGGCACTGACATTGGGGCGACCAGGGCCTCTGGTAGAGCCACATCCAGCCTCTATGAAAGAGTTTTCGTAACAACAACAGTAGCTAACATTTATTGAGACCTTATTTGCCAGACACTGTGTTAAGTGCTGTCCCAGCAGTTCTCAATGAACTTGCCCAATAAATGCGGGGAGTATCTTGTTGCTCCTCAGAGAGGTCAATGCACTCTCCTTAGATGACCAAGGCAGTGGGCAGCAGAACGGGGACTCAAAGCCAAATCTGCCTGACTCCAAAATGCAGTATTCCACACACTCTGGGCTCTCGATCATACCAATGTCCAAGGCACTGGGCTTTCTTGGAATTGTCAACCATATCTACCCTGTTGGCCCATAGTCCCGTTCACCCTTACAGCTCTCCAGGTCCCAACTCACCCTCATGTCCATTAATTAATTCATTTACTCACTAAGTATTGAGCATGTACTAGTGCTAGACACTGGGTGTAGAGCTATGAACCAATTGTACATAGTTCCTACCCTCTTAGAGCCCATGGTCCAGGGAGGAAGATAATTGCATAGGCAGTTACCATCCATGTAATGAAGGATGGGGTGATGGGAAGTACAGAGTGCAGGGAAGCGTAGAGCAGGTGACAACTTGGCTATTTGGAGGAAGGGCTGCCACATCTGAAACCTAAAGAATGAGCAGCCTTTTAAGAGGCAGAGACTTAACTTGCCTGAATCCAGAGAGGGCGTGAATATGTTTGAATGATGATTTGTAAGTCTCTCGGATGCAACATGCCTTTTTCTGCAAAGTATTTTGTAAGACTCCTTTTCAGTAGTATAATTTACCTAAACACATTATTTTTAAAAACATATATATTTTTAAATATATAGTATAAAGCCCTAATTGTACTATAGAGAAAACAAAGGGAAAGTAACTTAAAAAAATGATATGCATTTCCATACACAAGTGCTCAAGCACAACTGCACTGGAAGATACAGTGAAGTAGGCAGAAAATTGCACCTCTGGTGGAATGACAGTGAATGGTGATGATGGTCATGGGTTATGTTGGTAATTCAAATACCATGAGCAGCACTGCCAACAATGCTGTGAATTTCTAAAATGATGAACAACATTTGGTAATGTTCCAGATGAAACAGTGTGCAATCTTTCCTTGATTTACACAGTAGATGTGTTCTTGGAAATTGTAATTAGTGCAGAAAAAAAAAAACCTTTGTATTTATATGTAAAATGGAGTTTGGTCTAGGTTCAGATCATTATAACCAATTTTTCACCTCTCTCATGTCTGTCGGGACATTCAAAATGATAACTCTTTCATTGCATCAGACCGCTCTGGTAATTGTGGGACTCCCCACGTTCCTCATGCTCAACACACTCTATGTCAGTTCCCCCAATCAGTGTGACACCACAGAGCCCTCCAAAATTTCTAAAAGGTTCTCTTAGGAGTGATAACGCCCTGCCGCCCTCCAAGAAACACCAAACTACTGAAGCTCTAGAGCAATAGTGACTTATAGAAATATGTGAGCCACATAAATAATTTTAAATTTTGTAGTAGCTCTGTTGGAAAAAGCAAAATGAAACAATTCAAATTGACTTTAATAATATATTTCATTTAACTTAATACAGTCACGTATTGCTTAACGACGGAGATGTTCTGAGAAATGCATCGCTAGGCAAGTTAGTCATTTTGCGAACATCTCAGAGTGTACTTACACAAACCTAGATGGTATAGCCTGCTACACACCTAGGCCATTTGGTACCAATCTTATGGGATCACCGTCATATATGTGGTCTGTCGTTGACCAAAACTTCATTATGCGGGGCATGACTGTATAGCCAAAATATTATCATTTCATCAATGTAATCAATATAAAAAATTATCACTTTTTTCATACAAAGCCTTTGAAATCCAGTATGTATTTTATACCTACAGCACATCTCAGTTCAGACTGGCCATGTTTCAGATGCTTAACAGGCACATGTGGCCAGTGGCTGTCATGTTGGATAGTGCAGCTGTAGAAAGCACTAAGTTCCCTTCTTTGGCACAAGCACTTCTTTTTTGAATCCTGTTTCCAGCACTCTTACACGTGGGGAAATACAGACTCAGGTTTTCCAGACAGGTACATGGAAATCTATACACAGAACCAGCACCCTGAACTGCAGTGGACACACGGCTCAGAGCCAGCCACAAAGCACGTGAGTGCGCTGGCTGAGTCACACTGTCCAGCTCCCGGCTCCTGGTCACGGAGCTGTATGACGTCACAACTAACTGCTGAAAACCACATGGTTCAGTGCCGCCCACAAATTGAAGGCCCCCTTGAAAATGTGGAAACAGATGTTCTGAAGACTCTGACCTCTCATCATTAATTTTAGAATTTAAATGCCTGCTAATTTCCCCCTTTTATTGCTGAGCTCCACACAGTGGCATGCTCAATGTCAATGGGAATATCCTTTGGAGATGTTCAATATATCAAATCTGAAGGTTCCTGGATATCTGGGCACTAGAGCAGGAGAGGAGGAACAGGAGAGAGGGGAGGGGCACCGTGGGGGCACAGAGCGAGGTTGAGAAGAAGCTTCTCTGGCTGGAATTGGGGCCTGAGCAGAAGACCTGAACGCTCCTCTGTCTGCCCTTGGCCAGTGCACACACGAATAAAGGTTCTAGGGAGGAAATACACATGACTATTAGGAAAATGGAAAGCAGTGATTTGAGGGAGCCTCGCTCACTCCCTGGGTCTGACACTTTCCTTTCCCATCTGATGACCTAACATGGCTTACTGGGAGCTATCACCCAGCAAGCAGACTCTGGAGTCGGGCCAACCCAGGTTCAAGTTCTGCTTCTTTTCTTGCTTTCTAGCGACGAGACCCTGGGTGCGTACTTTCACTGAACCTCCATTTGCATGGGTAGAAAGTGGAGGTGAGAACACCCACTGCAGCTTGATGAGAATTCACGGTGTGATAGCTACAGCACCTAGCACAGGGCTGGCACACAGTAAGCACTTAAACACCCATTCCCTCCCCTGTTCATCTAGTATCTTCAGAGCCTTGGTTGATGGAACTGATGGCATTTACAGTGGTTGGTGATGAGCTCAAGTTTTAACCATCTAAGGCATCTCCCAACACTGTCCTCTGGGAAGTGGAGGGTGTTTTGAGCCCAAAACCTCTAGGGGAAGAATCAAGGCCACTTCATACTTGGACTGGAGGCCCTAGAAGAGCGCTGTGGCAGAGACCAGACTGGAAGCCTAGTGTGTCCAAATGATAAGCCCCTAGGCATCACCGCCAGGCTCTTGGCTAATCTGATGCAGTCCCCACACTTCCTTGGAGAGTGAGGGGAGGAAAATCTCAGAGAACAGAGAGCGTCCCCATTATTGCCACCAAGGAGAGGAGACTCCATGTGGGACCTCTCTGGTCCACCCCATCATGTCTTCCTGACCTGCCCTGTTCAGTGTCAGATGCAGCCACACGTGGGATGGCCCGGGATGAGACATGACCTTGATTGGCCCATCCCTCCAAGACCCTGGCTGTGAGCTCACCCTTTGCAGCAGGAAATCACTTCTCATCTAAGGCCTCCTGGGCATTCTTTTCTTTGAAGAGTTTGCTGCAGTGCCCTAGTTTGGGCTTGAGATTTCAGCCAATTTCTGTGAAGGAAAATGATTACACCTTGTCAGTACTTTGGAGAAAATACAGTTTCTTTCACAAAAGAAAGGCCTCTAGGGCTTTTAACTTCCCTTCTTTAAGAAAAGAGGGAAAAAGCCCTCAGCAGCCTACAGGGTCTCAGACAAAGCACACACCCCAAGTTTCACATTGTCGTTTTTACCCTTGTAATTTGGCCCCCTCCCTGGGTGGGGCGGGTACAATCGAAGGAAACAGACTGATTCTGCATCCCTAGTGGCCCTGAGGGTACCTCCCGAGCCCAAGCGGGAGGGGGTGGTGGTGACTTCCAGCGTCTCTTTGGTGGTGGCCATTATAGCCTCCAGCTGCAGGGCCTGCTGGCGAGATGACCCGACCAGATGGGCCTTGGGTCACCTTTCCTGCCTTCACCAGTGTTGATGAGCCCACTTTCCTCTACCAAACCGGAGCCAGAGGAGTAGCTGTTGTAGAGCCCCCAAATTGTGGCCTTGCTTCCGATGTTTGCTCCCCTGATTTAGAGCCGCCTCGGGCCCAGACAGGGTGAGGGAGGCCAGTGCCTCCCAGTGTTCGTTGGAAATGATCCTTCCTCCTCCATCGCCAATATTGTCTTCTCTCGTTCCTTGCCGGCCAGGAGGGAGGTGTGGCGGAGGACTGGGGGCCAGGTCTCTTCCCTCTCTGTTTGCTGGGCTCTCTTTCAGGATTGACATTCAGAGGTATCCTATCATGGTTCGAGTCCTGATTGGGGTGGTGGTTATACGAATCCGTACATGTGCTAACACTTCATAGTACTGTGAGCACATGCACACACACACGAGTGCATATTAAAACTGGTGAAAGCCGGGTAAGACCTACAGTTTAATTAATAGTATTGCATCAGTGTCAGTTTCCTAGTTGGAAATGAACTATGGTTGTATAAGATGTTATCATTGGGGAAAAGGTGGGTGACTGGTACACAGAAACTCTCTATGCTTCTTTTTTTTGCAACTTCTTTTGAGTCTTAAATTATTTCCAAATAAAAGGTCTCCCACAGAGGGTCCCTCAGGTCCTCACAGAAATAAAGCCTGGGGACTTGCCCTGACCAGCCAGAGTTCCCTCTGTGGAGCTGCATATCGGACCTCCCTTTCCTCACTGGGCGCCGGACAAGGTTCATACTCATTGTGCCTTTGGTTTTCAGATCTTTTCTCTATTTGGGGAAATGTCAATTTAAAAAAATTTTGTTTCTGATTTTTTTTTTTTTTTTTTTGCCCTTGACAAGGAGGCACTGGGGGATCACATGGACCCCAACGCACTTTATCTTAGCTACTTGGAATCCCTGAGTTTCAGACATCAGCCTGTAAGAGCCACCAAAATATGAACAGCAAATTGCTCCCTCCTCACCCCATCCTGAAGTCACTCCACTTCTTCCCTTTGCTCTCCCTACTTATTGCTGTATCCTGAGCTTGGCACAGAGTAGACATTCAAGAAATGGGTTTTTGAATGAATGAATCCTAAATAGAATCAGGTAAGAACCAAAGGTGCCAGGAAGATGCCTTAAGTCAGACAGTTCCTTCCTCCTTTTGGCCATTTAGTGAAAATTCTTGCCTGCATTTGATCTGTGGACGTTGGGGGAGAGGCATTTGTTTTCTATTGGGATGGCTGAGTTAAGTACAAGCCTGGGACATCTGAAGACATCTCCCTTGAAACTGGAGAGAGCCTACATGCAGAACTAAGAGAAGCAGAGATGTGAAAGACCTCATAAGGCAGGGCAGCGGGTGGGGAACTGGAGAGAGAATGAAAGAGAGGAGGAGAAAAACCCTGATGGCATTGCTTGAGCTCCTGGATCAAGCTGTGCCTGAACCTTCTGAGTTATATGCACAGAGCTGCCTGCCTCTTCACCTGGCAAACCCACCTGGAGCAGCTCCTGCTTCTAGTCCAGCACAAGGATCCTTATAGCCTGGATGAGCTTGCCCTCGAATCTCCCAAAGCCAAAATGAGCCCTGAATGCGGCGGCCATTCCCCTCAAGCTCCCTCCATTCCCGTCAAGCTTCTTCCATTCCCCTCAAGCTCCTAGGCACACATTTTTGACCCCCTTCATATCTGCACTCGCCAGGGGATGGTGCAGCAGCTGTTGTGAGCTGCTTACGCGCTATCTAGATCCCTCATTCAACTTATCAACAATGTATATCTTTACCCAACTCATAGGCCCTCCACACTACATTGCTTATCCTCACACATTTAAGCTAAACACGTCCAAAATGTCACAGATGCTCCAACAGCACAGAAACAGTGTCTAAAAAATTGGGGTGGGGTAGTGATCCCAGGAGACTTCTTGGATGTAGTGCCTTTTGAAGAATAAACATTATTAGATAGGGTAACGGGGAAGTAACGCCAGGCAGAGGGGAGGCACGTGGGAAAGCACAACAGAGCTATGAAAGGCCGTGTGAGCATTTAGAGGATGAGCAGAGGAAGGGCCAGAGGGAAAAGCGTAATTAGGACATTGAGGGGGGAAAGGCCAGAGCATGAGGGCCGAAGATAAGTCAAAGGCTGAGTCTGCCCTGAGAGCTGTGGAGAACCACTGAGAGTTTTAGGCAGAAAGTGACATCATCAGAATTGTGTGTGGAAAGAATTATTCTGGCAGCTGGGTGGGGGTTGCTGGGAGGACAAGAGACAAGGAAGTTACCATATAATTCTGGGCAAACAGAGATGATGGCCAATGGCAGGGGCTAGTGGGAGAGCTTATGGAAGTTCTTGTTTATTGCTCCTATTTTCTCAGTAAAATGGGAGGCAAGCTGTTATGGACTGAGTGTGTCCCCCCAAAAGGCATATGTTGAAACCTAACCCCCAGTGTGATGGTATTAGGAGGGGACCTTTGGGAGGTGATTAGGTCATGAGGATAAGGCCCTCATGAATGGGATTAGTGCCCTTATAAGAAGAGACACGAGAACTTGCTCTTCCTCTCTGCTCTCTACCAAGTGAGGACATAAGGACAAGGCAGCCATCTACCAACCAGAAAACAGGCCTTCATCAGACACCAGATCTTCTGGTGACTTGATCTTGGACTTCCCAGCCTCCAGAACTGTGAGATGACAAATTTCTCTTGCTTAAGCCATCCAGTCTGTGGTAATTTGTTATAGCAGCCCAGATTGACTAAGACATGCTCACCAGCTGAGAGTGAGGATGAGGGGAAGATATAGGAGGTGGTGGAGGTTTGAGGAAAGACAAAAAGGGATAACTGAGCAGTGGAAGATTCCTGAGGAGACAGGAGGGGATGGAATTCAAATCCCAGGTGAGCAGATTAAACTTACATAGTTGAAGGGATTCCTCATTACTGAAATGGAAGAGGGAAGATAGTCAGAGGAAGGGTGGTTGTGTGTAAATGGAAGTGGGGGGAGCAATCCCTTTTGGGGGTCCTGGGTCCTGTCTTCACTAGTATCTCAAGTTGCACAATGCAGTTGTCCCCCCTGAGTCAGGAAACTATGTCCACAGAGCATGGTCAGGGATGCTGTGGTTTATGCCGGCAGGGTTTCCTAATTTCAAGTATCAGAAAGAGGAGGTTGGGGACTGTCCCTTCAGTCCCAGAAGGCCCCTGGTTTTCTTATTCAACGTCATAGTCAACCCCACCCCAGAGGTCTGCATACCAAGGAACGACAGTCTCCACTGCACCATAAACAACAAAAACAATAAAAATCCAGATGCTTCTATTCTATTCTTCAGGCTTATTAATTAGGGAAGCAACTATGGTGATTTTTCACATAAGGCAAATAAGGCCAGTTTGCTTGTACAGTTCAACCTCAGCAGACGCCTGTTAAGACTTTTGAGTAGCTTTGGCAGAGTCTTGGGTTAAAGGGTCCTTCCTGACACAGCTGTAGATGGGAAGTCTGAATTCAAAGTTCCTTGCCCAAAGTTGCTATTGTATTTAATACATTAAATTACAATTTTGGCTTATTTTGTACCCTAAGTGGAATTAAAATAGCTTTGCTGATTTAAATCAGTCAGTCTGCATTGCTTTCCAAAGCCCACATTCTTTCACGTCTTTCTACCTTCATCCCACACTTAGTGTCTCCTCCTTGCTAGTCTTCCTCACTTTTGATTCCTTATGACTCTTATTCTCCTCACCTCCTATCCAGTCTCTTCAGTTTCTTCTTCAGTTCCCCACAGAAGACCCCTGCCCACCCTATCTTCTTCTCTCATTTTTCACTTGAAAAAGACAGAAGGTGAACATGCAGAATTTTCACAGATGTATCTCACATATGTATACAAATACAATGGAAATGGAAATGGAAACGAAAGACCAGCCCTCCTGATTCTGGAGGTGGTGTCTGGAGGCAGGTGGGATTGGGAGAAGGGCTGGTCCTGGTACACTGGAGGAGACGGGCTGTCCCAGGTCGGCAGCCCAGACCCACCACCCACAACTGCACTGTCAGGAGCAGGGTTTTTGTTTCATTTTCACTGAGTGTTCGAGAATGTCGCCAATAGCGGGCAGTCCCCTGGTGTGAGAACTGATGATCAAGAATTCCATAAAGAATTAAGCAAAAGCTGGAGATGAGGGAAAATGCCAAAATCACATATCTTGGCCTTTCTGGAGGTGAAGGAGCTGGGAGTCTAACCTGGGAGAAGTGTGAGTCTGAGGGTGTCGTGTCCACGTGATTCATCACATTCTCGAAAAAGAGATCTTTGCTGGGGTCGCTTAATGTCAGAAACCCTATTTGACAAGCAAGAAACACACAAAGAATGTCTCTTTAACCTTTGTTGTTGTTGTTAGTGCTGTGGAGTGGGTTCCGACTCCTAGCGACCCCATGTACTGCAGAGCAGAACCCTGCCTGGTCCTTTGGCACCATCCTCTCATATTTCAGTGCTATATCAGACAATGCTCTGCTGCTATTCATAGGGTTTTCATGGCCAATTTTTCAGAAGTGGGTGGCCAAGTCCTTCTTCCTAGTCTGTCTTAGTCTGGAAGCTCCGCTGAAACCTGTCCACCATGGTGTCGCTGCTGGTATTTGAAATACCAGTGACATAGCTTTCAGCATCACAGCAACATGCAGCCACCACAGTCTGACAACTGACAGAAGGGTGGTGTGGGTCCCTGACTGGGAAACGAACCTGGGCCAAGGCAGTGAGAACGCCAGATCCTAACCGCTAGACCACCAGGGTGGACCCTTTAACCTTTAGATGTGCATGTAAAACACAGGGTGACAGGTGTTCGAAGAAGGAGGAATAAACCCAGTGGTGCTCCTTGGATAAAGGAAAGGGGATGCAAAGGTTTCATGCATCCGAACCAGGTCCATCTCCACGTATGTTGGGCTCACATATGGGCAGGGCAGGTGTGTGAGTTCATTTATTCCTGCATGACAACAGG